TTTTAGATTAATCTGTCCAGTGATCATTCACATGCTTGGTTTTCACTGAAAGGGATGTGTGTGCCCATGCACACTCAGGATACAAACTTGTATGTCATCTGTAATTGTGAGCTGTGTGATTTTGCACTTCCTCCTAAATGTAGTATTATATTTATAAACATAACCATTAATGCTTTCTATTTAACTTGGCGATGCATCTGTATTTACTTAAATTTGTTAGTAGCATTGGCATTTCAGACATCCTTAGAACCCACACTATGGTACTGAAACATATAATAAAGCTAAAACTCATGCAAGGTGATTTAAGCACACCCCTCTATAGCAGTACTATTAAACATTTTAAGAGGTACTGTATGTGTATCTGAACATGAATGTATTAAAATTCAGTACACTTTATAAGAACTTAAAGTTCTTTCTTCTTAGTCTATTATTTAAACACCACTTTGAGCTTGTAGGCATGAAAAAATATAATTTCTTTCCCATTTCACAGTTGGAATAACTGAATTACAGAGAACAATGCTAGTAATTATCCATGATTAATAGAGGTGTGTATGTAAATCAGTCTGAATGAGTGTGTGAAATTAGATGTACCAATGCCAGAGTTATTTATTTATTTTGAAAAGATGAATGCTTTCATATGAATTTCCAAGTGATTTGGTCACACATCTCTGTGTGCTGAATCTGTTTGAAAAGGGACTTTGTGAAAATGTAGGAATACTAAGATAGCAGAGTGGTGTGTCATAGATGTTCTAAGAAAAAATAGATGCTATTTAAAATTCACATGACAGCTCTCTATTTGTGTGTGTGTGTATATATATATATATATGCTATTTTTAATGGACTATAGCTTTATGTGTGTGTCTGGGGCCAGGAGAGGTAGGTTGGAATTTGACTGCATTTCAACAATTAAAACAAGTGGGAGAAGGTGTATATTATTTTCTTAGAGTTGTTGTAAAAACAAATGATAAAATCCCCATAGATGTTAGCTACCGCATTAGTAGGCCAAGTGAAACTGCTCTTATCGCAGGTACGGAAAGGAGGCATTTATCCTTTGGAACCGAGGATGATGTCCCATGGAGGGGGGACAGCAGGGAGGGAAGTACTGCAGGCACTATCCAGCCATCTTCCTAGCATGGAGAAGGTTCACGATCCCTCCCCCCCAGGGGCGCTTCTATTCCAGTGGAATCTGATTCCAAAGGTCCCCACCTTGAAGGACCTCCTCATGTTCTCAGACCCCCATCTGTGTCCCTTCAGGAGGAAATGCGGCAGGTGGACTTCCGATTTCTGCAAGCCTGGTTCACTTGTGGGTTGGGTCTTAAATTTTTAAAACTTTAATTGTGTGTGTGTAGGGGTTTTATTTTGTTTCCAGGGGGAGCTTCAGACAGCTGTATTAAGCATGCAAACCCAGCCACGTGCGATGTGTTTTATCAACAGAAGAGCAGCGACTGAATTGCAAGCTGCTGTGTGTAACCCTAGCGTGATGCCTGAGCTCAGAAGATAATCTCAGACGTTTCCCGTGCCGCACGGGGTTAGTGAATGGAAAGCTGTTCACGGGGGATAAATAATCAGATGGGAGGCAAACACGTGAGACCTCTTCCAGAGGGTTTTGTTTTGTTTTAAAGGTGGCAGTGATAGGAGAGGAAGGAGCCCAAAGAGCCCATTCCTCAAGGGAATGCTTCACTTCGGTCACCAAAAAAGTACAAATTAAACCACCACACAAAACAGTGGAGACTTGTTCTTGTCCTCTTCCTCCTCTTCGCTTTAACTTCCTGAGACTGGTCTTGTCCCTTCCTTCCATCTTTCCTTCCTTCCTTCCTTCCGGGCTCTGTACCTGGCAGTGCTGGGCCATGGGAGCAGCGGGGCTCTCCTTGCTCTGGCGGGGAGATGATGTGAACTGGCGAAGTGAGATGCGCTCCCTTTGACATTCAGAGCCTCCTCTCTTCTCATTTTACAATTCAGTGGATTTTCTGCAGCAAGGTAGTCAGGGGTAGTTATGCAAATATATGCAATTCAGGACTCATTTCAGAATAAATAAACCCAAATTAAAATTAATGGAGAAAAACACCTATCAGAAACAGATCAAGGATGGAACACTGTTTGATTTATTTATATAGATCTTTTTGAATTAAGGAGCAGGGAAGTATACTTTTTTTGTGTAGGGGTTCTGTTTTCGGCACTGAGGAGGGGTATTTTAACATGTATGATTGCTACACCAATACCCCAGTGCTCCACACTTCGGGTATTATTTTATTATTCTTATTATCGCTGCAGAAAAGCAAGCAATATGATGAAGAAAACCCGAGGGAAATATGCTTTCATTTATTGAGGCTTGTTGTTGTTTAATTACAGCTTGAAGGGGTGTAGGGCTGTGTTCCTGCTTCACCTCTGTCGTTTCTCCCCAGTCTGATGCGCCATGCAGAGCATACAGTTGGCACGATCCTCCACTGACAAGCAGTCACAAGGAAGCAGCAGTTTTGAAACCTATACTCATGTTAGTTTGGAAAGTAGCAGAGATCATTCTCTTTTGTCACGGGGAAAGGGTGAAAGATGATCTTTATGACGTTATCACACTTTCAGTATACCTTAAATGAATTGTTTCATATCTTCAGGCCATGCGCCAATTGTTCATTCACTGTCATCGAGTTGAATTGAACTCATAATGGCTCAGTCAAGACAGGATAGAATTGCTCCTTTAGGCTTCTGAGAGCAGAAGGCCTTTTCTCGCGCCTGAAGAGTGGATGCTGGATTTGAACCACCAACCATGTGGTTGGAAGCCCAGTGCATAACTCCCTGGACCGCCAGAGATCGAGCCAACTGCTCAAACACATAGTCTCCTTTGGCATTCACATTTAGGCTTCCATGTGGATTATGAAAATATAGGATATTGAGTCCCCTGGAGAAGACTTGTGCAATAATTATTACACAATGATGGACAATTTTCATAGGTACTTGGGTTCTTAATTGGCACTCTCAGAAAGGTTAGGAAGCCTACTGTTAGTGTTTCTTTTCATGAGAAATGGTGTTTTCCACGGGTGGCCTCTCGATGGTCAACCGGAGGAGAACAGAGAATCGATCTGCAGGTAGTTAACGTTCTTGTGAAGAACACAGAACTTGTCACGGGAACTGTCTTCTCCTACCCGCCTCTCACACCAGCTACCCCAAGACTCCATTTCCACCAGCAAAGGCCCAGAGTATTAGTAGGAAGGAAAACTATATTCTCTAAAAACTACTGCATCTAATGAAACTAACTACATTCTACCTACAATGTAAAAACCAAACTTGGGTCATTCTCCAATCAAAATTCAATTTGGGGGAAAATAAAAAGCTCAACACAGCCCATGTGTTTCAACCAGACTGCTTTTCAATATCTGACTGCGGTCCTTTGTGCACAGGGTCTGCTGCACTTTGTTCAGTGATGAATGAACAGTTATCCACATGCATGATAGATATTTGAGTTTGTGGCTGCAGGACGGCTCACACAAAGGATACCTGATGGCAAAGCGACACTGTAGAAAGCTCATCTTGGATGGAACATGGCCTATTTGAAAGTGTCATCCACTGGGACAAACGTGTGTGTGTGTTTGTCACATCAAGATATTTGCAAGCTGGTAACATGATAAAATGGCATCAATCTCTCCGGCAAGAGTAGAAAATGCATGTCTTAAAATAATTGTGGCGTGTCAGGAATTTAAAATAGGATAGTTTCCAGGAACACAAAGCTTTGTGTCAAGTCTAAAAAATCAGGCACATTTTAGCAGTCCTTATTTTTAGTGCCTGGAGTAGGAAACAGATTTTATTAATACATTAGGAAAGGTGTGTGCGTGCTTTTTTCAATCTAATGGTTCTACTATAGAAGGATTTATATTAAAACTAATTTGGATTCTCCTTGAAATTTAAGAATAAATATTTTAATAAACTATGTAGTTGGTCCTCATTTAAAATATAATTAAAACAAGTTTACATATGTGAATAAGGACATAGGCAAAGCATATCATTATTGACACTTTGATTATCGAACCCTAATTTTGGTCTAAGTTTTAGTTTGAACAAGTGTTAATGAAAGATGATCCCTCTTCACACTTAGAAAATGGCATCTTTCTGCCTTTAATTCTGAGCACATTTCTTTTATATTGTGCGTGATAATCTTGTTTAATTGGATTTATTTTTCCCACACTCCGTCCCGCATGGCCTCATTTCCATTTTTTCTCGGGTCTTTGGGTGTTATTTGCAAATCGCTTTTCTGGAATTTAATTTCAATGGTAGGTTGGTTTCATTTCAGATTTCTTTCACATTGTTTTAATTTTATTTGCCAATTTGCCTTTAAATAGCCGTAAGCTAGAAGGTTGTGGCTGCAACTTGCATCTCAATGTGATGTCGGAGGCAAAATTTCATTTGCGTCTGTAGAGCTTTCTGAAAAGGAATTCAGAATGTCTGCTTTTTTTTTTTTTTTTTAATCTGTGCTTTCTGAGATACTTATTTTTCTGTGTAAAAGTCCCCAAGTCAGATAATGTTATAAGAAAAAAACAATGTCTTTGCTGTAATCTAGTTGAATGAACCTTTGGCAATATATGCATTCATTTTTACGCATCACAGCAGTAGATTCAGACTGTCTACACCTCCAGATGTGAGTGACAGTGGTCAGTCAGAGAATTTGTATGTGTGTGGGGGCGGGAGCAGTTTCAAACGTACCGCCTATGTTCTAAGAATGTGATGGTGGTTATTTGAAATAAATACTGACTGAAGAAAAAATGGATTCCTGAGTGTAGCCATGTCTTTCTAGCTATGGATCGACTTGAAGTGAGGTTAGGTGACAGATCTCTTACATGTCTTTCAACTTGTTTGGAAGCAGCTGATTGATTTTCCATTGGAGGTGTGAAGGAAGAATGCTTTCCATTGTACGTGAGTTCTGTGGATGCGTTTCCCCCTTTGTGACTGTTGCACATTGTAGATGATGGAGAATGACCCAGCTAACGAGTTACAGTGATAAAAACCATACTGACCTTGAATGGGGTGAGGGATTGTGGGTAAAACACGCTCTAAAGGGGAAAAAATAATAAGCATCATGGAGCATTTATTGATATATATGTTTATGTTTAGTCTCTCAAACGATGATAAAAGGGATGGGATTCCACACCTAAGGATTACATCTCCAATAAAGTGTTCTTCTCTCTTTGCTGTTGACACTGAAGCATCAAAGAAAGCTATTAGTGAAAATGGAAACACAGAGACTTTAAACAAAACCTCTTTAGGTGGCAGAGAGCATCAGAATGTAGCAACACTACAATCAGGATCCTTCTTCCCCCTGGAAACTCCCACCATCCACACAATAGGTCTTTTAGAGATCTGTGTATTTGATAGAGATAAAATTCGGGTAATTAACTTTGGATTTCTTCTCCGTTCTCCCATAAATCTTATAGCTCATACCAGCTTTGGCCAAGCATCTGGAACATTAACTTTGGATATAATAATTCAACTCTACTCTCTCTGGATTGTACCTCCATAATATTGATAATAGTGTAAGGTTGATACCAACGTAATACATTTCTTGGGATCACATAATTTTCTTAGTCACCTTTTTAATCCCCTCCTCTTGTTTTAATTTGATCAACCAATCAACTTTGCTTGGTAATACAGTCCGTTGAGGATGTACTTTATTTTGCATTCTGGGGTCAAAGGTCTTAAAACTCTCAGAGCTTTACACTTACTGCTCATAAACTGAGTGCGCTAACAGAGTTCAGACTTTAAAGTACCTTACATCAATCGCCTCAACCACCAGATGTCACGGTAAACCCTCCACCAAGACTCTTTCAGAGAAGTAGGAAGGAACATTAGGGATGCTCTTTTCGTATGACCCCCAAGCCGACTACGGCAGCATAGGTAGCACACACTTTCTACATTCCTCTTCACAGTTTGGCTGAATAAATCCCCATTTAAAGTGAAAGTCAGCAAAAATAAAAAACATAAAGACAAATGTTTACGTACATACGCAAATCTGATCCTCTACCATCTACATACTCAAATCTGATCCCCTACCATCTTGTCCCATCATCTTAGAAAGAACAGATTTTCCTGGACATCGAATACTCAATACATCTGGATGCTGAGAAAGCTCAGGCTACTTGGCAGAATGAACTTTACTGTAGCTTGGCTGAATGTAGTAGCAGCTTAAGTGGGAAAAAAAAATCTCTTAAGTACATTAAGATGGAGCAGGTCAATAATGGCCCAGTGCACAATTGTCTTAGTTATTGAAGTGTCAAGTAGAAAAACTGTTTAAATCTCCACTGGTTATTTGGTATTTAATTTCCAGCTTTGAAAATAAATAGCCAAACTGCTTTCAGCATTGATGTAGCAGTTGGAGACCACTGTCCCATATTAACTCGGCCTATTGTATTTTATCTTTTATGATGACTATTATTAGTCACACTGTTTAAATGACTCAGCTTAATATTTTCTCATCATACCGTTCACAGCTGGGTAAATGCACTCTGCCCTTCTTTAGAAGAGACCATTTCGATTGCTGAAACATTCCATCTGCCCTCCTTTCATGGCTTCTCAACTGTTATTATCGTCTTTCCTCCACCCCGTGATCATCCTCTTAGCTGCATCATGCCCCATTAGTAATTCTCATTCTCTTAATTCCATCTTACTGATGTATCATCCCTTAGCTACGTCACTGGTGGAGTTTTCACCCGTAGACTTCCACTATCATTCTGCTATTATTTTATAGTCATATGTTAGAGTTTATAAGGTCCTGTAAAAACATAAAGTATAGTAGTGGCCCTTTTGAAAAAATAAATTTTCCAACTTTTGATATTCCAACAAAGGAAAGGTCAGGCATTTTGGTCTCACGTCCAACAGCTGATCGGGAGATTTTAGGATGAATGGGCTGTGATGTGTTTGTATCAACTTTGCTGAGCTGGATCCTCACTGTTATGACCTAGTAATCTTCTATGATGTGGCCTAACATAATATAATCAGCTCCATGATGGGACCTGTTGTGAGCAGCCAAAGTACTTGCACAAGGAGTGGCGTAGAGGGCAACCCCTGACCCAGGCCACAGCCCTGACGAAAGTTTCCTTGGGGACATGGTCTGTTTGTTACATAGAAAGACGATGGGGAGAGTTTTGCTGGTGTGCTGATCTCGCATCTGGTTTGTCAACCTCTGGGTTTAAAGTTTCAAACCAATGGATACCCATGTAGCCTGTCAACCCTTAGTCATCAGCAGCCTGCCATCTGGCGCGCTGACTTTCAATTCATTTTTCTCTGCATCCACCTGTGTGTGTGTGGTTTTCCTGCTTCCTCGTTTGTCTGCTTCCTTTGTCAGCTTCCTTAATCACTGAGTCAAGAGAAAGCTCCAGCTTAGCATCTGATCCATTGACTTGGACTGGACTGACCTGGTTCTACAATTGAAGGAGCCATCTTCTGGATATATATATTACACTGTATTTTATCGATCGATCGATCGATCCATCCCTCCCTCCCTCCCTACCTCCATCCTCCAATCTATCTACCGATCTAGTCTCCCACTGCTTTTGCTTCTCTAGAGAACCCAGCCTAACTCAGAGAGCTAAGTTTAATTCTAGTATTTTATGGTGTGGGTCCAAGAAAACCCTTTAATTCTGAGCTTTGGTTACTAATCGGCTAAATAGGAAGGGAGGTGTGGAAAGGTATTGACTAATGTTTCTGGGTCACCATCTGAGAGAAATAGCTAAATTCTTCACATAAAAAACCCTTTGCATTAAGATCACCTAGAAGAGAAAAGCCTGGGTTGAGAGAATTGTGTATGTGTGTGTGCAATTTACTAACTCAGCTATGATTTTTTTTCTTTTCCAAAGAGGATTGCATATGCAATATCTGTTCTTGAAACTAAAATCAGTCCCATTGCCCACTTATTTCCTTATTTTTTTTAAAGCATGCCCTTATGAGCACTTTGCATTTAGATTTTCAAACTATGTGTGAGTAGTGCTCAAATAAGAGGTTGAACTTTTCAGTGTGTAGAGTCCAAAAGAAGCTGATGAAGAGGATTTGCTGAGTCTTAACTGGAATCATCAAATAGCATATGTTTAAACACTGGGTTACTAAGATGATAAATTGAAATTATTTCTAATGAAGAGGGGGCCACTCTCCTTATGAGGACTCTCTCTAGTGCTAGTTGCTTAAGTAGTATTGAAGTTTCGTCAATGATAGGTTTGCAAGTTAATGAACTTTTAAAGTAAAAAACGTTAAAGCCTTCTTAGACACTGATGTAGTATAGCCCAGTGTAGATACCTTTGCATTTTTTTTATTCAAAACCCCTTATTGATCTTCAGGTGTCTATGAAATAAAAGATCAGTAGTTTAGCCCTTACTTTATGTGTAAGCATATTTTATTCCTATAGACAAATAATGGACATTAGATTAGAATATTGGTCAGAAACTCAATATGCCAAAGATGTCTTGGGGGGTCTATGAAGTCATCTAGTGGACTCTAGGCTAGTGGGGAGTAATAGTAATGCAAACAGGAAGCATTCACCCTGACAGGAAGGCACATGGTAATATTAAACCAGTCTCATTAAATGAAAACAAACAAAAAATGGTGAAAGAAATTCCATTTGTCCTCACCTCTACCTATACATGATATGTTTCCTGGTATTTCTGCCTCACATACAAATATCTAGATAATTAATTAAAGTCTAAATTAATATATCATCTAAATATTTCCAAATTGTAGAGCATGGAGTTTGAACAAATATTGCCTGGATTTAAATCCCAGCTTAGCCTTGCTTAGTTGAATTGGTTATGTAACTGCTTTGTGCAATAAAAATATAAGGGCCCAATCCAAATGATGCTACAGATTCCAAGATAGAATTTTGCAAGACCAAGAACTTAATTCATTGCAAATACCTTTTTTCAACAATGCAAGTAGTGACTACAAATGTGGACCTTGGTGGATGGGATACACAATTATTTGTGGCAAGAAATAATAGAGAAGCTCAACATCATTAGTTAGAACAAGGCCAGGGGCCATCTCTTGAAAAACCATCCATTGTTCAAATGCAAGTTCAAGTTTAAACTGAAGAAAACTTTAAAAGGTACGTACAGCCACATTGCTATCTTGGAGTCTATCTACATGGATTTAGATCCTAACTCAAGAATTGATTTGATACATTGAATGCTAATGACCAATGATGAGTTATGGGAGGACATAGAAAACAGCATCGGTGAAGAATCTAACAAGTCATTGAAAAGACCAAAATCACTATCAAAAGAGAATCTGAAACTTACTCTTGAACGTAGAACAGCTCAAGCAAGAGGAAACAACGGGGCAGGAACCGAGCTGCCCAGAAGAGTTCAAAGGAAGGCTCGAGAAGACCAACTAAAGTCCTATCCTGGAGTGGGTAAAGCCTTGGGATTGGAAAACATCCGGGCAGAACTTACGTGGTATTTCTCACAGTGAAAGAACTAAAGACAACGGCGGTGTTGGGGATCAGCTGTTGGGCTGCTAACCCAATGGTCTGCAGTTCCAGCCCACCCACCACTCTGCAGGATAAAGATGAAGCGTTCTGCTCCTGTGAAGACTGACAGCTGCGGAAAGCCAAAGGACATGTTCTACTTGGCCCTCTAGGGTTCCTCTGAGTGAATGTTAACTTGGTGGAAATGAGTTTGGTTTGTTGGTTTTATGGCAAAAAACCCCCTTGAATGATGCAGGAAGCCTCGAAAGAGGCTCTTGTACTAAAAAAGAATTGGTTGATGTGCAATCATTTCAGGGGGTAGCATATGATAAAAACCTGGTGACAAAGAAGGAAGAAATCCAGGCTGAATTGAAAACATTGGTCACTAAAAGGCTTTAAGAATTGTCAGAATGCACTGGTACAGATAGGGACTGGAAACTCAGGGAATCCAGGATGGATGACCCCTTCAGGACCAGTGGTGAGAGTGGTGATACCGGGAGGGAAGGGGGAGGGTGGGATAGAAAGGGGGAATTGATTACAGGGATCTACATATATCCTCCTCCCTAGGGGATGGACAATAGAAAAGTGGGTGAAGGGAGACATCAG